TTCAAAGCACTGTGGCAAGAAGGGCACCGCGACCTGGGTAGGATGGTGGCGGCGGTCTGTCGCACGTACAATACGAGACCGCACATCAGCACAGGTGTGACACCGTACGAGGCCTTATTCGGAAGACCACCGTACTTCGCGCGGTTGCAAGAGGTAACCGGCACAATGACAGAGGAGCAGAGGAAACAGAGCCTGGCGGCACAGATGCGTGAGAGATTGCAAAGGGCCATGCTCGCAGATAGGCCGCTCGAGGAGTCGGGCGCGGATGACCTACGGGTAGGAGAAATAGTAGTAGTCTCGATGGAGCCAGGGTCACATGCAGACGCCAGGGGACCGAAGACACCAGCTTGGGCACACACCGCGTGGTCGCTACCAATGAGGATAATAGAGTTGAGGAAAACGCGGGTAGTGGCAGAAAGATGCGACGTGCCGGGGGGGACGGTCACGGCTCAAAAAGGCCAAGTGAGAAGGTTCAAGCTGAGCACGGATCCACCACTACTGCGGTGGGCAACCCAAGAGTACGGCTCAGGGCAGCGCGAGCTGGAGGAGCAGGCCGAGAACATGCGGGAGACGACCGACGTTGGCATGAAGACAGAAGCTAACTGGGATGAGTTCTTAGGAATGATTCAACCCTTCAACTGAGAAGCCGAGGGGGCGTGTTGGCCGATCTCACCCACTGACATGCCAACACGCCCCCTCGGCATGTCAGTGGGTGAGGTCGGTACATAACAACTGAGAGTCAGAAACCGTAGGAATGCAAGTTACCAGAACCAACACCGAGGACTTTTCCTACGACGGGTGCAGCACCACGTCAGCAGCGGACCAGTACGACACAACACAGCTCCTTCCTCTTCGATACCACTACATGACTCGTCTCCGAATAGCAGGAGTCAACCTGAGTTCCCCCTTCACGATCCGAAACAGACCAAGGTTCAACCTTCATATCTTTCAGGCATTCACGGATCTAGTTGGGCCTTCTCGGCTCTATGCCTTTAGGCCTTCAGGGCTTAGGCGTACTGTTGTTCAGGGCTTAGGCGTACTGTTGTTCGTCCACGGCAACCACCGCTTCTCGCTGGGCGCCATTCCCATGGTCGTTGCCGCCCTCTTCTTCCTCCACGTCGAGCTCCGGCGGTGCGCCTGTGAGCTGGCGGTAGGCTCCGACCCCGCCCAGGAGAAGAACGAGGGTTCCAGCCGCCGCACTCCCAATGATGACTGGCCCTTGATTCTTACCCGGCGTTGTACCCGGCGTCGTGTCCGTGGTCGTAGAGCCGGGAGAAGTGGTGGTGGTGGTCCCGGAGCTCAGAGAAGTGGTGGTAGTGGTCCCGGAGCTTGGAGAAGTGGTGGTAGTGTCAGTATTGGTGTGAGTGCTTGTCTCGGGTGGTCCCGTTGTGGTGGTTTTGAGTACGCAGTTCAGTTCGTTGACAGAGGCGATGATCTCATCGGATAATTCCTTCGCTGAGGTTCCGACGGGGCGAATTAAGTACTGTCCATCATTAGCGTTAAA